TCTCTCTCTCTGTCTCTTTCTCTGTCTCTCTCTCTTTCTCTCTCTCTTTCTTTCACTCTTTCTCTCTCTCTCTCTCTCTCTCTCTCTCTCTCTCTCTCTCTCTCTCTCTTTCTTTCTCTGTCTGTCTGTCTCTCTCTCTCTGTCTCTCTCTCTGTCTTTTTCTCTGTCTCTCTGTCTCTCTCTCTCTCTGTCTCTCTCTCTCTCTCTGTCTGTCTCTCTCTCTCTCTCTCTTCTTTCTCTCTCTCTCTCTCTCTCTCTCTCTCTCTCTCTCTTTCAGTTTCTCATCCTCTTTGCTCTTCGTCCCTTTTTCTCTCTCTTCCTTTCTCCTTCATTCGCTCCCTGGGTCTCTCTACCCTATCCCCTAAATTTTCTCTCTCACTTCTTATTTATTAATTCACTCAAGGGAATTCTACACGCTGCATATGTTAGATTTCATACCTATATCAAGTTACACTACATTACTTTTCTGCCATGAAAGGTAATGCTATATATACACTATTCTTAACTCAGTGTCATATAAAACCTCATGATAATTTCTTTAAATCGCATTTTGCTTTCCTTTCTTCCTTGAAATAATAGTAATATTCTCCAAGTGAATATACTGAAGCCATCCGACCGTCAGCGGAAAACACCATAAGAGCAACAATGAAATATAATTCCTGTACAAATTGAAACGCTGAATGAAGAAATCTTTTTTTTTTTACCAGATTTTTATCGTGATTATCATATTTTTGTAATGATCATTATCGTTACCATTATTATCATTGTTTTCATAATATATATGTTTTTGTTCATATCATTATCATGATTATGATATTATCCTCATCTTTGTCACTATCGTCATCCCCTTTACCATTATTATTACTATTACCGTCATAATCATAATCATTATCATCGTTTCATCATCACCATTGCCACTATTATTTACTACTACAATCATTATCAGTTTTGTATCAGTCCTAATTTCTATTGCCATTATACTGCTTATTCCCTACAGAAAAAAAAATATAATGAAACCCAACGAAAAAGGCTGAAACAACACAATAATACGAGGGACATTTATCTTGTTTCTGTCTCAGTGGAATGTCTCACGCAGTGAGACATCCACTTTTGATTGGATGATGATGATGATGATGATGATGATGATGATGACTGATGATGATGATGATAATGGTGGTGGTGATGATGATGGTGATGATGATGATGGTGGTGATGGTGATGATGATGATGATGATGATGATGATGATGATGATGATGATGATGATGACGATGATGATAATGATGATAATAATGATAATAATAATAATAATTAATTAAGAAAACATATAGTTTATTGCTTTGATTTAGAAATGTATCACAAAAAGAAATCCTACTCGATTTAACATCAAATTTAGGTGCTGACTATCAAAATGTAATACAGCTAAAACTCATACAGAAAAGAATGAAATACAACTAACCATAGCTCGAAATCGCACACAAGGATCCTGTGGAAGTGTTGATGAAGCTGCTGTACACAAATTACTCCCAGTTTCCCCTGAACACAACTAAACGAAGAGTCTAATGATATAAAAAAAAATGCAGCAGTAATATTAATGGTACCAGTGCTAAAAAGGCATGTACCCTCTTTCTAACACAAATCTTCTATGTCCGGGTTTATAATAATCTGTCTCACACTTGCATACTTTTGCGTGCCGTAATTCTGACAAACCCGGTTTCCTTCGGTGTTAATTTACAATATATCATGATGAGGCCTATCGTGAAGTTGTATTTCTTAAATCTTTACGTTGATTGAAAACACACACCCAAGCACAATCTCTCTCTCTCTCTCTCTCACACACACACAAGCACACAAGCACACACACACACACACACACACACACACACACACACACACACACACATACACAAACACAAATACGAACATAAACACATGATATATATATAAATATATATATACATATATATATATATATATATATATATATATATATATATATATATATATATATATATATATATATATATATATATATATATATATATACACTATTTATGCAAGATGTGAATCGAACAAGACAAAAAACCAGAGAGACAAAACACGGAAAAATAAAATAAACACACAACAAAAGACTCCTTGCCTTTACATAACCACACCTGATCAAAACCTCCAGCGCAGACGTCGCGAACCCTAAGGAAAAACTTCAAGGCAGAAGAGTCCTTTCGCCGACGGCAGAGGAACCCCCTTCCTCCCAGGATATTGATACTTGACCCTTGATCCTACAGGATATTCTACCTTCCACAAAATAAAGAAGACAACTACAAAAAATACGAATATTATAGCTATATATATCTATATCTTTATCTATGTTTGCCTATATCTACGTATGTCTATATCTATTTTTACCTATATCTGCTTATATCTATATTTACTTATATCTACCTATATATATGTTTACCAAATCAACTTATATCTATATTTACCTATATCTATATTTACCTA